ATGCAAGTTTTTGATTACACCATTGAATACAAGCCTGGTAGCGAGAACATAGCAGATTCCCTGTCTCGACTGAGCTGTTACCACAGTCTGGACGAGGAGAAAACGAGGAACGTTGCAGAAGAATATGTACGGTTTATAGCCCAGAAAGCCACCCCAAAAGCCATGACAACACGAGAAGTAGAGGAACATTCCCATCGTGATGCTGAAGTGAGTGAACTAAGGCGATGCATTCGTGAAGGTGTCTGGAACAACAAAGAATGTGTTAAATATATTCCAGTAAAAGACGAACTGTGTGCCATCGGCAAAGTTGTTTTGCGTGGAACTCGCATTGTTATTCCCCAAACTCTGAGACAGCAAGTACTAGCTATTGCACACGAAGGACATGTTGGAATTGTTGCTACGAAACTGAGACTGAGGACTAAAGTGTGGTGGCCCGGTATCGACAAAGACGCTGAACAATATGTAAGGTCGTGTCATGGATGTCAATTAGTTGGACAAGCAACTCCACCGGAGCCTTTGATGCCTACTGAGCTGCCGCTTGGCAAATGGCAGGACTTATCCTTGGATCTCCTGGGACCGATGCCAACAGGAGAGTACCTGCTTGTTGTCATTGACTATTATTCTAGGTACTATGAAGTGGAGATCTTGATGTCAGTTACTGCATCCCAGATTATCTCACGCCTCGAGACGATATTCGCTGTTCATGGCCTGCCAGTAACCATAACGAGCGACAACGGACCACAATTCCGGTGTGAAGAGTTTGAGCATTTTCTTGTTGATAATGGTATCTTACACCGCAAGGTTACGCCACAATGGGCACAGGCAAATGGCGAAGTAGAGCGTCAAAACCGAAGCCTACTCAAAAGCATGAGAATTGCACAAGCAGAAGGAAAAAATTGGAGGAAAGAGCTCTTTCATTACCTCGCTACATACAGAACAACGCCGCACACCGTCACAGGAGTTTCCCCTGCGGAGTTATTATTTGGTCGGAAGATCCGCACAAAGATGCCTGAGTTGCACGAACCTACCATAAATAACGATGAGCTACGAGATCGTGACTGGGAAAAGAAAATAAAAGCGAAGACATATGCAGATGAACGAAGGGGTGCTCAACCAAACGACCTTCAGACTGGTGACCAAGTGCTTCTAAAGAAGAAAAAGTCAGACAAATTGTTAGCAAAATTTGAAAGTGAGCCTTACGAAATCATTGAAAAGAAGGGCAATAGTGTTGTGGCACAGTCACCTGAGAAAGTTCAATACCAGAGGAACGTCACAGAAGTAAAGAAGTTTACCCCCAGAGATGAACAATGTGTTGACAGTGATCATCAGTTTGAGTTACAATAGGACAATGAATTAGAGCAGAGGCCGCAACGGGATAGGCATCCCCCAGATCGCTATGGTGAATGGGAGTAACCCAGTAAACTGACATGATAGTAGCCTCTTACAGGCTTGAACCTCGTTGTGATTTTTTTTTCAAAAAAAAACAAAAACAAAAAAAACAGTGCGAACAATGGAGATAAGGACATTAGCCGTGTAAAGCTAAAAAAATAACTCTGGACATAGTTGCAGTTGCGTTGATCGTATGATCTAGTTTAAGACTAAGTTTTTCTTTTTTTCGTTAAGAAAAGAAGGGATGTTGTGTCGGTCACATGACCTGAGGGGGTAATGACACGTGGAGCGAGGAGCGAGGAATGTCAATTGAATTCGTTTGTTGTTAGTTATCTTATATGTGATTAAAGAGGCGTGGTTACTGACGGAATACAACAGTAACAAATAATCAAATTAACAATAATAATAATAATTATTATTATTATTGTAATAATGATGATGATAACAATGTTAATAATAATGGTAACTTATAGGGGCTAGCTCAAGGACCTCACTGTTCTTCTGTTGATAAATTCTCTAGGCTCCAATAATAATAAATCTAGGCTTTTTTTTTTAATTTTAACCTTGATTTTTCCAATTAATTATAAGTTGTTAAAATCTTATTTCACTGCAGTTCCATTTTTGTGAGACCTTTTTCCATACAGCAAGGCATTCCGTGTTGTGGGTAGCCTGCAGTACCGGCGTATTTTGGGCGCACGAGTGCACATTTTCCGTATTAGGCCGCCATCTTAGATTTGGTACCTGTGGAGGATTGGGGCGAGGAAATATTTGCCGAGGGAGTAGGTGTTCAGTGGAAAAATGGGCAGCGGGAGAGAGGGAGGGGAAGGACAAAATGTGCACTCGTGCGCCCAAAATACGCCGGCACTGCAGGCTACGTTGTGGGTTAATCCGCCATTCAGCCGTTCCACCCTTCCATAAGTCTGCTGTAAAGTCAAGGTATCGTATTCCGGACCTGATGTTCGCTTCGCAAATTTAGCGGCTCTTTTGAGCATTTGTCGTTGATTGAAATGTTGAAGTGTTCTATAGTCGAATGAATAAATTTTTCGTCAAAGTTTCCACGATGCGCAGATCAAAACCATTTAGGAAAATTATTTTTTTCAATTTCATCCCGGAGACGCCATTGTGAGCTTATATTTTGCGGTGTTACAGCAAGAACTGAAAAATTATATCTTCGGATCTACTGGGCGCAAAAG